TTCCCTGGAAGCACATGACCGATTCTGCGGTTCTTGCCGCTCATCAGGCGTGCATATCCGATTTTATTTTATCAGTTTATTCACGTAGTTGTACCCAAGAAGTGTATTTTTGTCACAAAACTTTCTTTACAACACTCGGTGACCTTTGGATATACAGCTCTTTCAGAGCCAGTCCATTAAAGAGTCAATGCTATGATTCGATATTTTGTAGGTGGGTTAGATATTTATTGTCATTTTGGTGAAGCCGATGATCAGTAGATAATACAGCACTTTTGATTATTTCTTCTACAGTACATTTTCTTCCGCTACATATTCTTGTAAAACGTCGAATTTTGTGCGCCAGCCTTATTTCTGACAGCATGCAGCAGAAAAACGTAAAAATTCTTTTGTGAATAGGACAAATCCATGGATATGTAATTAACGATTATTCTAGATATTTACTGCGCTGCTAGTAAAGTTTCCTTTTGTTAATGCTGTACAATGATGCGGATGTTCTGGCGGATTATTTGGGGGTTTTCCTCAAGAGGATGAAACAGAACAAAACCATATTGGGTCTCCTAATATGAGGATCAGGTTCTCAGATCTAATAACGGTGTAAATTTTAGTTACCTGGTGAAAGTCTACTCTTCCAAGTCTGTTTATTGTTAATCATTTTCGGTGCAAAAATTTCATTTGATCTTCATTACCATGGGTTTTACGTCGAAATATGTGAAGTAGACGGGAAGAGCAGTAATCAATTCTTACTTAAGTTTTAAACGTAAACAGTTTGGAGAGTAACAAGCTTGGATTAGCCCATTCGATTGTTCTAAGACATCAGGCACTCTTGATTGTCCTGACGAGTCCCAAACAGGACAAAACATCTGTCCAGTGCTTCTTAGCTTTTTAGTTCACACTTCAGTTACTATATACACGACGAACTTCACCTGTGAATTTGAATCAAATCGTCCATAACTCACATGAAATAAAGATATTCATTTGTTGAAGAAATATTATAGCGATCAATTTGATGCATTTTACGGAACCAACCTGACTGATTTAAGACAGAAGTTCTTATGTGAACTGTGGAAGTTAGTTTACTGAAACGCTTCCGGCCGGTTTTCACTTCGATCCAAGAGGTACATCCAGTGAATTGATGGTATATATTATCAGTATTCACAGGGCCGGCTAGCTTGTAATAGGAGAGCAGTATTTCTAATGACACACTGTATTTCTGCCAGCAGAACGCAAACAGTCTCACCACCCTTGTCGTTTTTGTTTTTGTTTTCTATTTGACCTATCTTTGTTATCGAACAAACAATGATACAATTTTCGGGAAGGAAAAAGCGACCGATCGCAGAACTACCGTACAAAACGAAGATATTGGAGATGGTCAGGTGAGGGTTGCTGGATTCCAACACACTTCCTCCCCGTGCGGGTTGGACGGAGGTGGGATGAGAATGGTGAGCATTTAGTGAATTTCAACCACTTGATCACGATCAGCACCACAACCGAGACATTTTTCAGTGTTTGAAAGCCAATTTTTCACATTTCCCGGCAGTGTCCTTTAAAAAGTGCCGTTGTTCATTGATAGTGAAATTTATCCAATTCAAACAATCTGTCTCACTGAACCTCCTCTTCGTCTCAGTCTTGATCAACAATGATCCTGCTTTGTTCATCTTGTTTCATCTTGTGATCTATTGTGTAACTATCTTTCTTGTTCGATTTCCACCACATCAGTGATTCATAACAAATGCAACCATTGTGCGTCCGCAATACCGAATACCGGCTTCCATATGAGTCCAGAAGCATGGGGAACAGTGGTTCGAAAATCCAAAACCGTAGTAGCTTACATGCATACATTCAAACTGTCGGATATTTCGTCATTTCGGTTATTCTAATCCCGTTGGTTACGCTTGCTCGGATATAAACGTATTCTGATGATGCGTGCCGTATAAGACGCTAAAAATGTGATCACCCGTTGTTCAATAAAGTGCGAAATGCGCTTGCTGTGATTGGGCTGAAGTTCTCAGTGGAGCAATTGTTGTGCAACCCAGTACGGAACATACAAAACTATAATTCTATCTCGCTGTTTCACGTTTCCTGTCACTCAACGTTCTACTTGAGCTTGTTATTTATTTGTTGAAGACTAACATTATAGAATATTATCATACTTGGATTCATATCGTTAAACAGTGCATCAGATTCGAATTGGATCTATGACTATTATACTGACCGACGCCAATTTCTGTATCATATTGGTACTCGGTCTTCCATTGTCAACGTAAACGAAGATGTATTGCAGGAAGAACTTTCATCTCTTATTTTCTGCGCTCTCTTTACATCCATAACTTACCAATTACCCCGACTATTTTCACAGTTAAATATGCCGATAACATAGCTGTTGTTAGTGTATCCAAAACAACCCTTTAATCAACCCCCGTGAATGAACCATAGGTTACATTTATGAATGATCGGATGGTGCTGACCGTCCTTTAAACCCGATCGTGGCCATCAACACTTCCGAATGAACTGTTCCCAACATATGTATTAATAACCTCAACGTTGAAAGGTTACACATTGTTGTCTATCTAGTGAACTCAAATGGTCTTACCACGTATAACAAACATCGCTGAACGTCAGAAAAGTAATATTTCACAGTTCAAGCCTTCGATAACTGAGGTTGCTATTAGATGCTTTTTTAAAAAAGATTTTTCTCAGGTTTTTTATGCCCTTGAACGTACTGATCTCCCGTTATCTTCCCAAGCCTGCTGTCTAATAATTTCATATTGATCGAACGCTTTCTGGAAAGTATGTGCAGTAACGAAGCTGTCCTTTATGTGACGCGAGTCGACTCCACTGGCAAGAAACACCTTAAGGTATCTGACCGCTTGTTTGACTCAGTGTTGTCTGACGCATCACATCCTTTCAGTCAGCCTCATTTTGCTCCATTTCCACTTCTGCCACCTACAATAAATAATAATAATTATAATAAACAGTTATACACTCGCACCAATTCCTTTTCTTGTTTGTTTATTGGTAACCAGGGGATAATCGTTAGACGAACTGTTACACAATCTCATGTAAATTGTCATGCTGGAATTTTCTACAGTCTCTACGAGTTCTCGCTCCTCATCATTATTGTCTATTTACCAAATATCATCGAATCTAATTGAAGCAAGAGTGATAGGATTTTTTCACTGGAAATTCTGTCCACAACAGATGAATAAAATGTACTCATGATTTGACTTGACTAGATGTGAAATGGCTTTTTATCAAGCTCCATTGCTTGAAATGGTACGCATGCATAATTAGATTGTGTGCAATTTGTGTTGAAGATGAAATTTCGCTTTTGGCCTGCCACACCCCCCTCTCCTCCATAAAAAGGAAAAAACCCTATTCATGTCCATTTTACAAATTCTCCCTAAATTTGTATGCATGATGAGCTGGGCAGTGATTAGTGAAGTTTGCTTCACTGTATATTCCGTTGGAAGTTTATGAGGGTTTCTCTAGCAAAATTGTCCAGTGATCACCCGCCGACAAGAAATGACATTATACATAGCGTGCTACATGCTGCAACATAAGCCAGCTGTAAACCGGAATTAATTATACTGTAACGGTAATAACTGAGAGAATATATTATTGATTTCACCGTAAAAATGCTATTCAGTCCAAATACGTGAGAAACAGACAAGCAAACCACGTTCTCCATTCGTATGTTTTATTCATTAGTTTTTTCCTTTTGAAAGAACACACGGGATTAGTTGAAAGGAAACAGAAATTTTTATTATCACTGATTTCTCATCTGTATTGATATTTTTGGTAAATCGATAAACAAAAATTATGCAATCCATATGCAAGAAGCCCTTAGTGGCATTTGCAAAAAGATATTCGCAAATAACGAAAGGTAAATGGTGCGATAAGGGTTAGGTTCGAACCGAATAATTGAAAAAAATATTGAATAGACTGGTTACTCCACTTGAATATCCTATCTCGATTTGCGAATTCTTATAAAAAGCAGTAATAGGACAGATCAATATTGCAATCTAATTTGTACAGAAATTCCTAAACGTACACATAGTATGTGACTTGTATACCGCAGGATTCACGTGTAAGTTGACGATGATGATTTATTTTGTGGAATTTTCAAAAACGTTGTTTCTGATGTAAGGATTCTATTTGTTATTGAATTGCATATAATCTTGCCTGCTATCTGCAACGTACTAAGCATTAATCGACACGGAGAGTACTAGGGTTTGTAGGAATCAATTCAGTCACTTGAAACGTTCTACCGGTACTATACAGAATACTTTCACTAGCTAAAGAACCAGAAGCAAGGGTTTATTATTAATCTAATGCAATCGTTGGATTAGAAGATCAACATGGCGAGAAAACGAATACGATCTTCACGGTGCTCGATTCAAGTTTTCTTTGGCCAACCAGCCGTTCGTCATAAGCTGCTACAAATGCGAACTCGTTTTGAGCGAATCACAAGGATTGAAAATGTTCCCTTTCACCTCCTCCCCCCGGTCCAGCCTCCCAGGCCCCGCCCCCCCCCCACTCACAAGTTTGAAATATACACCAATCCGCATTTAAAGCCACACAGCTTCTCATTCGAGGATATATAATGCCAGACCAGTAGCCACAGCACTGATATGCCCACATTCGCCGCGGATTAGAGGTGAGCAGTATTGGTCACCTGGACCATTTGGTTTCAGTTACGTTGTACTTTGCTTACAAATTTCCAATTTGTTGAATGTCGTAGTTGAAAAGTGTATTATGATTATATTGTATAATGCTTTAGATAGCGTCCTAATTGGTCTCACATTCGTTATTATATTGCCGTGTAATGAGCTAATTCAACGAGAAAATGATGGTACCATTTATAAGGATGATATAACAAGTGACGAATGTGAGTGGAATAGAGAATCATTGGATTTGGGCATTGGCTTGAGGGGGTAGAATGCATTGCAGATTTTCAGTCCTGCGATTTTCTCATTCATATTTCAGATTCCTCCTGAACAATGATGTTCAACAGTAAAGCAACCCTCATGTTGGTCGTTACTCAAATGATTCTTTTGCACTCGACTGGTAAGCAGATTTATGTGCCGGTCACTTGTTTCCCCCTCCCCCTGCTTTCATCAGTCACCGGAATGATGTCACACAGATGTTTTAAACATTTCCACGTCTAGCCATTCATATGTTATATCCTCTTCTATGTATGAAGTATGCGCTTTTGTGGACATAATTGACAGTTTTGCAGAAGTAGTAGTCCTGCCAAATTACAGTGTGCATTTCCTTTTGGGTACATATATTTAGGAACAAATGCACGAGGTTAAAAAACAACTTAATTATTTAATTACTTGAACGGTTTACCATGTGATTAATACAGTTGGGTTACTCAGTTATTTATTATTTTTGCCATCTACAAATTCGTGCCATTATTTCTATCATTTTAATTTTTTTGTTCTTTTGCTCGGGAATTATTCCAATGCTATTTGTTAGTAGAATAACGGTTACTACATATTGTCATTTTCACAAAATATATTTCAAACCGGCAAATAGACTTATCTTACAAACTTGTATGTTAGTTATTTTCTTTTTTTGTTATTCAAGAACCAAATCCATTTTAGCTTCTCTGAAATTCCATTATGATTATGATGATTATTAGTATTGTTACTATCATCATTAGTACTATCGTCACTATCCGAATTACAAGTATCCTGAGCTATAGAATCCTCTTCTAATTCTTCAACTTCCATTCCCGACAGTTTGTATTGTGGATGCACGAAGTATAACTGTACCCGAGGACAATATCAACTCTGTCGTTGATGAACAGCTCAGATATCCATTTGTCGCGGAAATAGATGTACCCTTTCGATCCGCCTATTCCGAGGCCGCAAAACGTGCTGTTCGATTGATGCGCCTGGGCTAACCACAACTACGCGGACCTATTCGAATATATTTAGAGGTCTGTTTGCCCGGAACGCGAATGCAATTCACTGTTTTGAAATAAACGACCTTGCGCAAATCAAGTTATCCAACCGTTTTTTTTACTCCGTTTGTAAGGAACAGTCGTTTGCATTAGGGACCCGAATGGGACCAAAAAGAGAAACACGCGAACAAAACATAGCGGTGATTATTTACAGCTGAGCGATATCTACTTTCTGATCCGCATGTTGTGTAAACATTAACGCATCACCTCGTGACCTCATCGTACGACGTTCGCCTCACCTTAATAAACGGACTAGCAGCGAGATACTGAATACTACTGTGTTAGAAATAACGATTGAACCAAACAATGATAATTTCTTGTTAATAGGTTCAACTTTTCAAACCAGAGTCATAAGGAAAACCTGAACGGGAACATCACAAAGCACTTAAGTACTGCTAGTATGAGTTACCTTATCGTCAATATCATCAATAATAAAGATTGAGTTCCGTTTGTTTAATGCAAAACGAACGTAAAAATGGTCATGTTTAAAGGTGAGATGTATCAAATAAGAACTAGACCGGATCGGCCAAACTACAGTGATCGGTTTGGAACTCACGATTTGAACTATCGTGGGCGGATGCACTCGATTACTGCCATGTTATGTTGTCAGGAAATGGGTTAACCAAACCGGAGGGGAAATGTATTATTCTTCCTAAATGGCTTCCGCCCAAATAAGCGTGACAGTCGCAAAAGGGATCCGATATCGCAAGTATATGTAGCACGCTGAGTTGGTTGTATACCGCGAGTCAAATTACGTTCTTAATTGATCACTACTGATTTGCAGAGAACGCATATTGGAGGCGTTCTTCTAACATATTTAAATCTGTTAATTGAGTTCTCGGGCTGTGAATCAATGACTGGTTTCCTTTTTCAATAGATCTGGAATTTCGGATAGATAGTGTTTCCAAATTTGGCTGTTATTAAACTATTATTGCACATGAAACTATTTGTTGATGTGTCACGCGCTAATAAAGTTGTGTATCGTTACACTGAAAAGTTGGGGAAGAGACGTATTTTGTCTGTAAACTAAGAACGAAATAGTGAAATAAATGTGGATGGGTAGACACGTATGTTCCCGAATCGTTATTCACTTGTAGCACCTCCACCTGAAGAAACCACAATAACAACATTGTTTGGTTACCCAGTCTGAGAAATTCATGATACTATTCACAACATGGAAAATGACCGTTTTAGTAATATTTAAAGGGTAATAGTTGAACACAAAACAACGGGAAAAAACCTAAAACAATACTTCTGCTCTGGAGCCTGAAGCCCAATCCAAATCAAGTAGACTGTCAAGTATTCACGACAGAGGGTGAATCTTCGAAAACGGGTATTGGAGGTATGACATGATTTTTCATTCTGACGAGGCGTTCACTCGATTTCGCTTGCTTTCAAGATTGAGTAGAATAATTTGTGTAATAATTTTATTTAAAAGCTGATCCAATTGTACGGTAGCGCTTTGTTTTCCTGACGCGTTAACAAATAGCATTTGTTGAAGTAGAATAAGGCGATGTAGTTAATTGCACGAAGTTCTCCGACAACAGTCCATTTCCATATCCGGCTCTCTGCAGTTCAAGCAGTCAAGAGTTCAGCCCACTTATTCGAAGATTTTTTAATTGAATTTAGGAAAGGGAACCAAAAATAAGGCCACAATGCTGATACGTTTCAACTGAGACATTGTAGTTGATTTCTGTATCCTCTTGCTGGGTACTACAACAATAGTTGCCAAATTTATGTATATATACATATATATGTATGATGTTCCACTCTCCTTTTTGTTTTACTTCACTCAATAACCGGGTTTTTCTTGTCCCGCTTTGATGCAGAACAACAAATAAAGTATGCTTCAAAATTTTTTAATTGGTGTACTACATCCCAAAGACAAAGTGTTGCATGTAAGTGTGTTCGGTGAAGCTGTGAGACCTATTAAACCTTGCTTGGATATCATTCTCAACTACGGAATCAGAAAAAGAGGAACGACAATGTGTGGATGCGTTATTCATTACTTTCGTAGGTGAAGTAATTTAAGGTTCCAGGAGGAGGAGAATTAATTTTCAAAACTAATCAGAATTGCTTCATACATTGGGTATTCGGTATGCTGGCTGATTATTAACAACAACGTGACTAGTTTTAGTTCTGTATCATCGGGCAACATTTATTTTCCAGATACAAAAAAGGAAGAAGAGAATTTCCTGAAGAGACAGTTGTCAAACAATGGTTACTCAGAAAGGTTTGTAGATATTCACAGTAGACCACTCCAAAACATGTAACGCAACCTAAAATGCTAGCAAAAAGGGCCGTCTACTTAACGCTTACGCTAATAGGTCACCACATTTCCAGTGTTGTGCGCTATAAGTTAAGGTCAGCTCTAGACCGGACATTCCCACTGATCAACTCAGACTCATTGCCTCTATTCACATCATTGATCTGAACAAGCGCAAATATTACTGGTAAACAGGTTCTGTCCCACACAATATATACCAATTCATCTGCATTTTTGATGACCTTTACAAAACCGGAACAAGCCGTCAACTGTCACAACGGATGGTTGGCAAAATGGATGATGCAACGCATAACTGATGATCAAGTGATCACACGAAATTCAGGGTCAAATGTAGCGAAACATCTCAGGATAACAAGGTACACAGTTGACTCTAAATCCTCTATCCAAACCATATTACTTGTTCGCAATACTAAACTTGCTTATTAGATATAGCTATAACCCACTCATCTTATGCGTACAAAAGGTTTTGATTCAATCAGTCTACACATCATGGAGCTGACCTTCGACTTCTGTATTTAGTAACCTTTATGTGCCTTTACATGTTCATTCACCGTAACCGAACAATCCCATCGATACCATCAATGAATCTGTTTCTTCCAAGTCAGTGATTGAGAAAATTAAACGATACGGTAACATCTCGCGACATTTGTCCTCCCTCTATATTGATGAAATGTAATGAGGGAACTCATTGCTTCAAAGTTTATCAAGACCTTTGATGATTATCGATTAGATAGCTCAGGGGGGGCGGAACAAAAATATTACATATTCATTTTTACCAGACTTTCACATCAAGATGAGGTGAAACTTAAAGTGTTTTTTAACTCTATCAGGATTGAATTCATCCGCAATCTCAGACATTTCAAATGTTCCATCAATGATACAAGGAAGTTGAAAAGGTTGTCGGAGATTGAAGATTTTTTCAGGTAGTGCAACCTTATCCGTAGGTTGAAACTTCATCGACTTCGATGGCTGAGTAGTTTGTGTCATTCACTACCACACCCCTACCCCACCCCTGTTACTGTTACTTCCACATTTTCCTATTGAGATTACTGAAATGGAATTGGTTTATCGATTGGGGGAAGATCGGCTTCAATTGGTAGAACAGAAGGGTTTGCGTTCCGCTGAACGGAATCAGTGGGTGTGCGATACGCTTTGTTCCTTGGAGCCGGCCGACCGGAAATATACGAACTCAAAAGTGACAAATGTGACTCTCGTGCCTATCTGTACTTTTGAGAAGCTGAACCATGCGTTCACTTCCTCTCCTGATGAATTCGATACTAATTCATAATGACATTTGAAAATGAGTATTTGATAAATCTCATTCTGCCGTAATCCCTTAGGAGCATATTGTCTTCTCAAAAACGGGTCATGAAGTGATTTTCCACGGGGTTGATGCCAATTTGCATACAAATAGTGAACAACTGAATGAGTGACCTTAGATGATGAAAGCTCATCTTTTGCCGTTGGTACACGCTGTGTGAGCTTTGTCTGTTACAACTTGGAAGCTTTTGGAAAAGTATGATAATACAGCTACACACAACTGCGAAATTCCAGTATAGACAACCGTGAAAGTCACCCGCTTCATAATCGTGATTTTCTGACGATGAATTAAATAATAATCAGTCGTTGATTGGTGCAAAAATACACCGGATAATCATTTGGATGCTCTAACTCTGATTTACTTTGTACACATTAAATCTATCTGCGTGCCGATTAAACAAATTCAAACAGTTCTCAATCTTGTTCATGGAAATTCAATAACTCACTAATTTTGTCCATATCCTGGTTCCTTTTGTGTCTATCCAAAAATTTTGACTTAAACGATAATGTCTCCGTCACATTTGTTGATGCATATCTTTTGTTATCTTTGATTCGTTACATAATGATACATTTATTGGAAAATGGAAGTGACTAATCACAAGTTTGCCCCACAACATTTTTCGGCTGACGAAAGTCAAGTGGTAGTGGTGATGGTGGCTGTAATGCAGTAGTAGTAGTAGTAATAGTAGTAGTAGTAGTAGTAGTAGTAGTCTTGTAATTCCAGAAGACAGTGCTGCTCGAGGATAGTCGTTTAGTAGGATTTCAGATGG